AGATTATTGTCTCTTGGTATTACAGCTGATTAATACTTTAATAGATTACTTGGTATTGATATTGGTATCAGTATTTTAGTTATTAGATTATTATCTCTTGGTATTACAGCTGATTAATACTTGATAATAGATAACTTGGTATTGATATTGGTATAATATCAGTCGGTATTTTAGTTGTTTTCATTTTATTAGATAAATAAGTATTTCATGTCTAACGTTGAGAGAACGTTGTACATATAGAAATAACAAAATGATAAATAAGAAGTAGAATTGTGTAAGATGAGCGTGCGTGGGTGTTTTTATTATTGGGATTTCCGATGCCTATTTAGAGTGGGGCTAGCGTGGATGGGTGCGAATTCTTGGATTCGAGCTCGGATATAGTTTGGAAAGGAAGACAAACCCTTGACGACGCAAGACTATTCCTAAACGTTGTGTGAAATAAATAAAGTCGTTACATTGTTTTGAACAAAACTAATGTGTACTTATTCCACTGTTGGAATAAGTACTCTATTTATCCTATATAATTAATAGTGCATATTAAAAGCTCGAGTAGCTTTCTTACCATATTAATAACATTGATAGTATCGATAGATAACAAGGTTAAGCCAAAAGTAATGATGACGCGACAYCAGGAGAGTAAAATATATAATAACAAGCATTTTAACGATTTGTAGTAGGTTTTAAATTCCAATAAAAAGTACAMTTATTGTAWYATCATGTTTCGAGGGTTTGGTGATCAATAAAATAAACAAAATCGAACACTAAAGCTCAGTGATTTTTGTTGTTTATGTAGAAAAGAGTGAAATGAGGGGAAAGGAAGGTTTAGGGGCAAGAAAGGATGAAGAAGACAACTTAAAATAAGTGCAAAACAAAGAAGAAAACAAGACTGGATGAAAAAATGGTCATTTTTGGTCATTTTCAAGGAAAAAGCATGGACTAAAAACTGTGGCATAAATGAGAAAAAACTTTAGAGAATGATTGATTCGTAGGATAAAAATTTTAACAGCGAAACAACAGCTGAAATATCAGGAAGAA